GGCGTCAAGTCAGAAATTGTCAATTCCACTGTAGCTCTTCATGGAAATAGCGTATTTTATTTGTGTTTTTTTTTTTAACGATTATGCAGCTACTTAACTGTATGCCGACAAAAGCCGTGAATGTATGTTTGTTTGTATGTGTGTGTGTGTGTCTGTGTGTGTACGTATGTGTGTGTTTGTTTGTGTTTACGTATGTATATGCGTGTGTGTGTGTATGCATATGTATGTGTGTATATATGTGTGTATATATATATGTGTGTATATATATGTGTGTATATGTGTGTATGTGTGTATATGTGTGCGTATATATGTGTGTATGTGTACGCTTATGCACATACATGGGATGTGTTTTGTATACATATATATGTATATAGCCGTGTACATATATATGTGTATGTACACACGCATGTGTGTGTTTTTTGTAAACAGGTATGTGCATATGTGTTTTATGTGTACACATATGTGTGTAAGTAGCAGTACGTGTATATTCGTATATGTTCATGTGTGTGTGTGTGTGTGTGCTTGTATGTGTACGTGTTGTGCGTGTATGTGTGTATATGTGTGTATGTCTGTCTGTTTGAATATGTTGCACTTCCAGTTCTCGATCCAGCTAGGAAGTTGAAATTTCGAATGATTTAGTTTTTACTGGTTGAAATGGCTCAGAAGCCCAATTCGGCCTATCACGGAATGCAAAGCTTAGCTAAGTTTGAGCCAAATTTGCATAAGTGTGCCGAATTTTGCCGGAGACATTCATGCAGATTTCAGTCCCGTGGAGGAAGGGGTCTGTGTAGGTTGACTTTTGGATTTTTGCATAACAGATATGACTATAAAAGTGGCCAAACAGAGTTTGCGCATTTATTGTTGTCATTGCTAGTCATCTAGCCGGTCGAGTGAACACTCTCGTGCGCTCTTGCAATTTGCTTACTTCTGTTCCGGGCTTGCGCCAAAAAACGCCGTGTTTGGTTACTTCTGTTCCTCCTTGCATGCGCCAAATAATACCGCGAAGAGAGTTTTGCGAAATATTCGGTCTTTAAAACTGGGGCCTGGCCGTGCGTGCGCGAGTAGCGAACCGAGAAGAGGCGAGAATAAGAGTAAAGGGTTGCCCTCCCTCTTTTTCTAGAATTGTACGGTTCTTGAGAAATTCGTTTGGGAAATTTCGGCTCTATGGATGTGTTTTCGCTTGTATCTCGCATGAACATTTTCAGGTCCATGGCAGATGCACCACCTTCGCACTCACATTATCGCAGCGGATATTTTCGTCACAATTATCGTTAGCATCTTCCTTTTTTTTTGATTTTTTTGGAGCAAAAAAAGAAATAAATTTATGATGGGGGGAGGGGGTACACACTGCGTGGGAAAGGGAGAAATTGAGAGTGGGAGGGGGGGAGAGGGAGGGGGTGGGGGAGCAGCGAGAGCCGTAAAGGACTGCATGAGTTTGGGGGATTAGACACCAAAAGCAGATAAGACCTTGTTTTTCATTGTGGAGAATGAAATATTGGATTTTTGATGAAAAATCTCGATTTTTGATGAAATCTCGATTTTTGGTGAAAAATCTACTGAAAAATTAAAGCGAGGAGGGTTGAGAAGAATTT